GCACGCAGTTGGCGCCATGTTTGGCAATAGCTGATGTAAATTATTTGCTTCGTTGGTGACACTCCCATGCCGGTAACGCGAAATATCCAGCATATTCTTCCATGTTTGTCTCTTCTTTCTTTCTTTTTCCCTGTTATCACTAGTTGCTACAACTTTCTGTAATCTATGGGTATCTAGTGAGTATTGCCATTTTCTGAGTTCCATTTGTTTTCCTTCTTGGCTTTTGTCACGCATTTTCTTTTGTCATTTTGGCCATCCACGATATTTTCAAAGCAATCCTCAGCAAACGCCTTTGAGTTACCTCTAACAGTGTTTTTATAGGTATACATGTTAACATTACAGCCACCAATAGAAGTTTCAAGTATGCTTGATAAACATCATTCCTTATAATGTCACAGTCAAGCAAGGAGAAATATATTGCTACCAATTACTAATGCTATCTGCGTGCTTTACCTTGTCGAATGATATTATTTAACGTACATGATATAAAGGTATGAGAATATTAAAACAAAAGCAAGATGCGTATAATAGCTAGTAACAATTTATAGTGACATATTTCAGCAATGATCGTCTCAGCAACGAATAAGTTTCGGCAGCACTAGATAGAATACCTGTCAGTTGGATTCATCGCATCACTTCAAACCCCCACTCTACACTTGTGTTTAATTTGCCAAAACACTCTTCAAAATAATAGTATGGGACCATGTAAACTAAAAAATCATTAGGAAAGTACTAATGACGGAGAAAGCGGAAAGTCTGCGGTTCTTTGTAGAAAGCTGCTGGATGGTTTCGAAAAGATACCAAGTTTAAAGAAAATAGTTTCTGATAGCGCAAATATGGCAAGTGGACCTAAGCATTTTATTAAATCAGTAAATTGATTGCCAAAATTTACAGTCCAGCAATGTTGAGAAAACATTCTCCTTCCTTCAGTACCAATAATACTCTCTGACTTGATGTATACGAATCCACAAGAAGCGGTTTAAGCCCTTCTGCTCAACAACTCAACTGAATCTTCGCGCATAGATGAGACGCCTCTGGACATAAAAAGTTTCTTCTTTAATGGTAATATATTAATGGAGGAGATGCTGCTTGCCAGGATATAGAAAACTATGACAAAGCGCCAATCTACATGGAGGAAGTCAATGGCTATCTACTTTAAAACTCCATCACAATGCAAAAGATATTTGCAGGTGCATTAGATGGTGCTACCTCATTGGTCGAAATGTATAGAGGATTAATTGCCCATAGAAAATTATTCCCCCTTCAGCTCCTAAACGTCACTGCGTGATTCATTGAGAGCACCTAGGAACTCAGAACGTGGGATGGCGCTTATGCGATCCACATTTATAATATTAGTTAGCAATATCAATCCGCACCCTTTTAGGATCGTTTTTTTTAAGCAGTTGTGTAAGGAGAACAGTGAAGTTGTCATGGTTCAACTTTTGCACGCAGAAGTTAGATGGCACTCCAAGGGCAACTGTATTCGCCATTTTGTTTCAGTCTGGGACAACATCATCACATTCATTTCTGCAACTGATTATGAAGGAAAAGTGTGTGCGGCTAAGCCAGATGTGTTTTATCTGGCTGAAGATTTCGAAAAACTCCAATTGTAGAATAAAACTTAAAGGCAATTTGTGTAACCTAATTTCGAAAAGAAATCCAGTTATCGCATTTTTAACATAACTGAAGTATATTCTCAGAGCATCGAACTTGGGGAATTTTTACAGTTCCCAATGGTTTATGCCATTCATATACAATAACTACGAAAAAAAATCAGAGAATTTTCCTAACCAGATTGACATGGAAATCCAGATTTAGATTCTGAATCCATTTGATGTACAGCTCTGAGATGTCGGAGCTGAAAATCTGGAAATTCTCATAAAGCTTAAGATTGACACACAGCAATAAGATCCAAGTGCACGCTATATAAGTTGGATTTTGGATATACTGATGCCCCACACTGTGGGAAATATCTGAACTATATTTCCTCGCTTTTCCAACCACATACATGTTTGCATGTGGATTCCACAGACTGGTTGCTTTAAGAAATACAGAAACATGGGACAGTACAGAAACAGGAGATATCCCACTCTGGCTGTCAAGTCTGGAGCCGGGCCTAAGCAAGCTGGCTCAAGATTATCATGCCAAATGCTCGCATTAATAGCTTGAGTAACATAGTTTTACGATTTTACTACAATTCCTAATTCATGGCAGCCTTACAGTTAAAATCTAACAATAAGCAAATACAATTTTAAATACTAACGATAACTTTTGTGTAACTGCAGATATGTAGCTTTATATTGCTGCAAAATAACTTTTTTCTTCAAGCCATGGCAGTTAAACAATGGGGATTGTAAGGGAAACAGAACTGATGCCAACACTACAAGTTTAGCCATTATAACAAATGGACAAAATGACTACTGGAAATCACAGATTTGCGTCTGTTATTTGTTTCGGATTGCTGACGTTGTGCTGATCAAGAGTGGAAGCCATGGGAAATGGGAAGGTTCAAAAGGCGGCCACCGTTGTAGAAAAGTTGAGAAGGACTGATCCAAAAAGTTGGGGTAATCTTTTGTCCTGACATGATGACAAGAGTTTATCGTTTGCTATTTTCCCTTTATTCATGCTAACGGTGTTTATACCAGAAGAGGCAGCAACGGCGGCCTCCTTGCTGATCTATGGCAACAACCTCAGCAATTGTAGCTGACCTTCCGGACTGTTTGTGGACAAGAGGTATTTGAGCTACAGATACCGAGGATTGGTGTTTGGCTGCTTCATGCTTGCTAATGCTAGATGTCTGGTCTAGTGGAATTTGCTCAACCGAACTTTCTGGAAGGTGTCTGATATTTATTGCTATGAGTCCTGCTTGACTGTCGCAGTTACGGTTAGTTTTTGCCCGGCATTCTACCAAAGTTAGATAAGACAACGGAGATGGAGACGCCGCGGATTGCGATACAGAGGTAGCAGATTGTGTAGCTTTCCTTTGCTATTAGGTCGCTACGCTTCCGTGGTGCATACTCGCTTCCATTAAATTAACCTTATCGTTCATCCTTTGCTCGGCTTCCGCGGTTTACTGGTCGCACGTCTGAACTAGGATAAGCAAGCACTTAACGAATGACAAAGTCTAGCACACAGTACAGTACCAAAGCGTATCTTATGTCATTTCGCTCTAGTACCGGTTGTTGGGACAGGTTTGCGCATTTCCGATTTCACCCTTCCAAACAGTGCGAGCAAGTCAAACCTATTTTAAATACCCGATAACATTTTCCTTATCCGAAAATGCCTTTTGATTGGAGCCTTTTCGGATTCTCATTTCTGCTATTCAGTGTGATGTCGTTACCTGACCTATTAAGTTAGTTTGGGTTCTGTATTTTCCAGCTTTGAAATCGTCGCACAACGGTCAGGCCAGCGTAGTGTTTGCGAGGGCAAATGAGCGGTCGGCCTCGCCGCACATTCCGTGTGATGGGTTATGCTGGTGCACTGACTGACAAGAGCACAAGAACTGGCGGGTGGCTGGAAACTGCTTACTAAATCTGCACACAGAGCTCAACGCAGATAGACAGTACATGTTCTTTCACGGCTGCGTTCAGAAACGCTGGGTTGGAATAATCTTAGGCTTCTCGGATTACCTAGAGAATTCTGTATCGCGTGGTGTCACACAGAAAGGCAATCGGCTCGATTTGATTGCATTATCCGCTTGCTCATAATCACGGATGACAGTGAAAAAGGTTACTGATGGCACGGACTTGAATCGTAGAATATTATTCTACGTTTGATGGATCGCTGTTTAGGGCTGATAAATCCGGTTCGAAAAAGTGTACAATGACAACGCTAAGAGCAGATGGAGACAGGATATAGTGGAATAATCTAGATGAACCATGAACAAGCACCTCAATCGCATGTGAGGCTGACCTTCCTGGATTTAAATTGTACGGGAAGTAAAATCATCGTCAAATAGGTATGATATCCCGTGTTCAATAATGTTTGGCAAAATTATGAAGTACTGAAACATGACTTAGGACACTTACCAGCGAAAATGCTCAAGTTTCCAAATACGTAGGAAAACCAGAAGGATGAACTCATAACTAAATCAAGCAACGATGGTATAATGTTTTACTATATCTTCTGGATTTGTGTCAATTCAAATGGGTAAAATTCAATAAAGCAGAAGTCATAACTTGTTACAGTCGCCGTAAACATTTGTGTCCAATTATGACAAATCGGAGTCCGAGAACAATAGCACAGCTCTTGCATTTACAGAATGGATAAGGTTTTTCGGCCTCAGTGACTTCAGAAGTTAATTTAGCAAAATACTTGCTAGATGGTTTCGCAAGCATGATATCTCTAAAGAATTTGATGTAAAATATAGTGCTGGGCGTAAATTGCAACAGCAATTTTGAAGACATGCGGTGTACTTCATAGGTGCTATGACGCTCTTACTTCTTTCTCCCAAGTTGCCTTTTGCTTTGCCTTCGGCTCTGGTTGTTGGTATATGCTGCTAGGCTTGATGAGTGATCCGTTTGGGTCACCTCCTTGGTCGGGGAGGTGAGAGATAGTAGTTACATATTCTGTGTGCATCCGCGTGGCGACTGCTGTAGTAGGAGATGGACTTGCTTGTTTCTGAGCTAAGATCCAGGAAACCCATGTAAGGCTAACCACCCTGCTTGTGTCGATTCGCGGTTACTAAACCTACAATGGTCAAATTCAGACCAGGTCTCTAGCTTAGTTCAAAATTGCAGAGATCATGCCGTTGTTGTCCAGTCTTTGGTTTCGGTGACGTCCGGAAGGGGAGAGGGCTTGTATGTAGAACGGGAGATCGATTTAGATGCTGAAATTGTAGTGGAAGATCAGGTGCTTGAGGGACTTATCATTTCTGGTGATGCTGTTGATGTCCAAGACGGGTATGTCTACTTTTGTGGTACAGTTTTCGGTCCCAAGCGTGGGCTTGGCCAACGCAAGTGGCAAGACATCCGTTAAAGCTCAATGAGGAGAGGCTACGTATGGCGCCAAAACGAGGAGATTTGTATGAGGAAGAGGCCTCACGGTTATATGTGCACGTAACCCAGTTTCTTCCAGATTGCGCAAACAAACTGGACGTCTATCATCGACTCTCTGCTCAATTTCCTGGGCGGTGTGTTGAAGGCATCAAGAAACAGTTGATGAAGATGCGCTGGCCAAGGCGGAGGACTTGTTCGGAGTGTTTGCTTTGGGACTCACCGGTGGTGGTCCGTGTTCCTCCGATAGTGCTTCCCGAGGTTGATGCGGAGTTGACGGAAAGTGACTTCGTATCCGCTGGGACGACCACTAAACGGGATCCAGATCAGATTGAAGCGGCCCTTGAGCTAAACTTTTGCAATTCTCCTACGAGGAACAGGACAGTTCATTCTTGGAGGGTTTTGGCGTGAATCTGACCCGGACGGGGTGTTCGATGTGTGATTGATCTAAAACCGCTGGACGAGGAGGTGGGTGCCTCTACCAACTTGGCTCTTGAAGCGATCAAATCGCCGATGGGGGGAGGGTGCCTCACCTAAGGCTAGTCTGAAGGTTGCAAAATGGTCTGTTGAAGTACTTGCCCATATCATTACGGAATTGAAGAACTCTTTATACAAGGATGACCTGGCTGGTCAGCTGCTTCAGCTTTCTGAACAGTTGCAGAACGGTACGCTCACAAATTGTGCAGTCGTAGTGCGTCAGTACGATATCACTGAACATTTCTTTCCACTAAAATGGCATCCTCCGAGGGAACGGAGAACCTGCTGGCGGCAGGCGATTGATATGGAAGGCCAGCTATGCAGCAATTCAGAAACTATGGGTGATGAAACGTAAAGATGCTACACAGGCGATTCTGGATGGTAGTTGGCTGAGCGTATACAATTTACAACTCGTGGGGCTCGATCAGACGGTGATTGAGTATCGGTGATCTGTATTTGGTGTGTAAAGTGCGGTAGATGAGAGACCGGCTCCCAGAGAAGTAGGCCAAGATTATGGACTGATTGAGCCCTTGTCTGCGGCAGATGTCGGTGATGCCATGCGGAATGCCGCAGGTACGGCTCCAGGACCAGATAAGGTGTCGGTGGAGGACTGTAAATCCTTGGAATTGACGATTCTCGCACGGCAGTTCAATCTTATGATGGTTCTTGAATACCCTTCTGCATCTCTTACGACAGCACGACTGACGTTGGTGCCTAAGGGGTCGGACCCAGCACGCCGCCAGATTATCGCCCGATCGCGCTTTCTTCGGTTCTTCTGCAGGCCTTTCATAAAGTTTTGGCAAAAAGATGGAGGTCGCGTTTGACTTTGTCTTCCCTTCAGGTTGCGTTTCAAAAGCGAGATAGGTGTCTTGAGGCCACAAATGTCCTACAGTGCTTCTTAAGAAGGGTTCTGTCCGACTGCCTGAATGCGGCGGTGGCGTTTTCGGACGTTACCAAAGCTCGCGACACCAGGTCAGTTGACACTATCACACTAGCTGTAGTAGCACATGGATCCCGCCAGGGATTCCGTGTTATTTGTGTTCGTTATACACATCTTCTAGGTTGCTTCTTGGCAAGGAATTTTTGGATTTTCACACAGGTGTGAGGCAGGGGGATCCTCTGTCTCCTCTCTTTTCCATCATGGTCATGCACGAGGTGATTTCTGCTACCCTGCCAAATAGAAGGGTGCGGCTGTGTGGCGAAGATTTTACTGCTTTAGCATACGCGGATGACCTTGTGCTGTTCGCTTCTTCCCAAGAGAGGTTGTTTACGAAGCTGGTGGCTTTGCAGCTGGCTCTTTCGGCGGCAGGTATGTCGTTGAACGCTTCGAAGTATCGGGCCATTACGGTCCAAAAGTTCTGCAAACAGAAGTGCGTCGTCCTGGTGCTTTAAGCGTATCCACTTATGCGGGTGAGATGAGCCAGATTGCGGTGGCGCATGAGATCCCTTACCTTGGTTTGCTTTTCAGCTGGAAGGGGAGATACCAGGAAAAAGCACAGCTGTCATTGCTGGGTGACTCAACGAGATCTCGCGTGCCCCATTGAAACCGCAACAATATCTGGATATGGTACATGCCTTCGACTTTCCCAAATTGTTTCATGCGTTAGTTCTGGGAAACACTCATCAGAATACCGTGCGGCAAATGAATATGCTGGTGCGAGCCAAAGTGCGGGTGTGGATGCTTTGCCCTAAACATGTGTCGCACTCTTTCCTTTAAACGAGTCGTGGACTGAGGGGTCACGGCTTACTTCGTGGAGCATGCTCTTTCCTTTTGCTCTAAAAACCATGTTCGGTCGGTTATGTTCTTCGCCGTCCTCGTTGGTGAGGGGAATTCTGGAGTCGGAGGCGTGCAAATTGATATGCGGAGTGCCAATGTGCCAGTCCGCCTAATGGGGACTGTGGTGGAGGGGAAAAAGGCCGTTCAAGGTCTCGGGAGAGAAACACTTGAGTCGTCATGTGACTGCAAAGGTTTACAGATACACAAACAAGATGCGGTGAGATGCCAATGGATGTCTTCGGGCCAAAGGGTCTTCCCCCGCCTATGTATTAGTGTTAGTAAGTTAAGAGGCGGACTCTTGCAAACAAAAGTGCGGAGCTCCAGGGGGATTCCCCGGAAGCCTGATGATGTTAAGTGCCGTGGTGGTTGCGGGGAAGTTGAGTCTATTGGGCACATCTTGCATTGGTGTTACCTTGCCCTTGATGCTCGGTGCATGAGACATAATCGAGTAGTACAGAAATTTGCCCAGTTTGTCAAGCGGAAGCACGCCACGGTATATGTTGAGCCCATCATTCCATTATCGTTGAGATACTGTAAACCTGACCTCATTATTAGCGCCAAAGGGTCGATAGTTTTTGCAGACGTGGCTAGCACATCGGCGCAGAGGCAATAGCTGGCGTACTGTAAGCAAGTTGCCAAGTACGCAGGGGCATGCAATTCGATACGGGCCTACCTTGGTGGCAAGGGGGTCCAAAAGACCAATATGGTGCATTAGCCAATCATTATCGCGGATCATGGTTACATTTGGAAGGGCTCTGGATGAGCTCTTCGTCGTCTTAGATTATCAGTCCGTGATATTTCTGAGTTGGCACTACTGGTCATCGCGGGGTCATTGAAGTGCTATGACCTATATATGCGGGGTACCTAATCGTCTCTCTTGCCGTTCGTTACGGGCATCGGGAAGCGACACAATGAAGCGGAAGGCCTAAACCTACAGAAGATCGAAGATGATGGAAACGGTAGGTGAGCAATTGGCGTTCGCGGAGGCTCTCGGAGATTCCGGAAGACAAACAAAGATAGATCTACTTTGGATGGATTACTACTGGTGTTCTCCCCATCCCCATGAACATTTACACGTTCCATGGTACTTGATTTAGAAAGTTCACTTCAGTGCATACGCTGGATGACCAGTTTTGCTTATCTTGTACCGCGTTTTTGCTTACTCGGCCCAGTATTGTTGATATTAATTAGGCAGGATGTGCCAAACCGAACTCCGAAAATATATGATAAAGGCGTAGCAAGATTGTAAGGCGGTAAGTAAATGATCCACGATTTTGAAGAGTTATTCTTCCTCTAGCTTGATATCACTTGGCAGTTCTTTGAATGACATTGCATGTCGATGATTATGATGATAATTACATGGCCATTATCAACGAAGCTTTTCAAAAGTTGCAAAAATTTCATTTGGCATGTTTGCAATAATCCAATTCTCAGAAAGCCGTTATGTGAGAGCAAAGAATTTCTTGTTTTCCACCTCCCTTTTCTTGCCATTACTCGCGCAATAATCGGTGTGTGACACTTGGGACGTTAGCATCACAAGTATTGTTTGGGTTAATTTATTACATAAGCATGAGTTTAAAAGCTAAACAATGAATTTATATTGCTTAAGAAGCGCTGCGTTTCAACATTTAACTGGTCAGGTAAGGTTTTTGAAGAACATTAATTAAAGCAAATATTAATTTTAGCTAAAATAACGCATATCTGTTTTGTACGGCCATAGCCTTGCACGCTGCGCACTTTCACCTTAATGACAATTAAAAATAATGAATCCAAGGTCTTTCTCAGGAGTAGGACGGAGTGATTGGGCTAAGCAACAAAAAAGTAAGTAGGCGAGTGCTTACTATTAACTGGGCGACGGCTGCACACCCTTCCATTCACCTGCTTGGATGTGCCCGCATACATTGGTTAGAGGTCATCCGCTGCTTTGACGTCGGCGCCGATCCCACGATTTATGTGTGGTTGAAATGTTAAGTACAATTTCAAAAACGTTTTTAGAAAGTGCTATGCAGACCTAACAAACTGCATCAAGCTACAAAGATTTTTTATTAACTCCCCGCCTCATCCTCCAACAAAACTTATCATTACAATTAAAGTCAAACAATTGCTTTATGTACCCTGCATGGGTGAATATTCACACGTTTTGTCAGAGAACAATGCCAGACATAGTGATGCACCTAGCAGAGAAATAGATGGTCACATGTTTTGTAAACCACAGATTATCTCTTATAATAGAACACTCAAACTGGTGCTCATTAATGCCTGTAGACTAATACACAAAATGTACTCTTTACTGATTTCTCAACCATCATCCACCCCATATCCTTCTAGGTACAAAATCGTGGTGTATGAGAGTGAAGGCAGAACATCTTGTTTCTTTTGATAATTATTATTTCTTTCGATATCATCGTTTCTATTAAAGGGGGTGGTTAGATTTTCCAATAAATGAACAACTTAAGACATACACAATGCAGTGACCGGCAATTGTAATCCCTTGATAGCCCCATTTAGATAGCAGTAAACATGAACAATAATAAAAGGCTGATTGGTCAAGTTTAATTGTCGCCAAAATATTGCGCACTTGAAAACTTACAGCTTTAGTATACGAGGACGAATGCCTTTGGTTTTTCTATTCGGTTTAATGTAGTTGGAGGAGAATTAAACTCATCAAGCATTTTGTGGCTCGAGTGCAAACATACAAGAATGCAAACTAAAATCTTTATTGCCTGCTTGAGAGAGTCTGGATAAAGGGCGTATTAATTCCCAAGCACTTTCATAATACACTCAATAAAATATTCACTGCTGCTCCAATGGTTGTAGTTATCGGCCTGTCAGACTATCTACACGGCAGTGAACATAATGTTGTCAGATGCAAAATGAGGAATTCATGCAAACATAAAACCCGTTGGGACACCGCGTAGTTTTGGTAAAACGAGCTAAAGAAACCTTGTTACCCTTGTTCAAACTTGTGGCTTTCCCCTTGTCCTCCAGGCTTCTAACATATAGGTGTATTCTCAAGCACTTAACGAGAACATTAATGGATGCATCGAAACACTGTCACTTGCGCTAACTCATCCGAAATAATTACAGCTCCAAGAAAAACTGATCGAACGCGATAAAAGTTACTTCAAAAAGTTTTAAACAAACTAACGAATTACAG